CACCACTAGAAACCTATCAGCAAAAGCTGTTAGGTAAAAGAAGAGAGAGAGAGAGAGAAAGAGAACGAGAGAGATAATGAGAGAGAGAGAGAGACAGCGAGAGAGAAGGAAGGGAGGAAGAACGAGAGAGAGAGAGAGAGCGAACACACCAACAACAAACCCAAAGAGAGACGCGGGGGAAGAGGGGCGTGCGTGTGGGGGTGGGGGTGGGGGGGGGGCGAGAGAGAGGACCGTGGAGAAACAGAGAGAACGAGAGACGAGAAAGAGAGAGAGAGAGAGGAAGCTGGAGGGAGAGAGAGAGAGAGAGAGAGGGAGTGAGAGAGAGAAAGAGAGAGGAAGCGGGAGGGAGAGAGAGAGAGAGAAACAAATAACGAGAGAGAGAGAGAGAGAGAAATAAAGAGAGAGAGAGAGAGAAAAGGGGAGAAGGAGAGACGGAGAGACGGAGAGAAGGAGAGAGGGAGAGAGAGAGAGAGGGAGAGAGAGAGAGAGAGGCAGAGAGAGAGGGGGGAAGAGAGAGGGGGGGAGGGAAAGAGAGAGAGCGAGAGAGAGAAAGAGACAAAACAATGATGGCGAGAAGAGAGCGAGGGAGAGAGCTAGAGAGAGAGAGAGGGGGAGAGAGAAAGAGAGAGAGAGAGAGATAGAGAGAGAGAGAGGAAGTGTGAGAGAGAGAGAAGGCGGGAAACAGAGATGGGGAGGGGAACACGATATATATATATATATAGAGAGAGAGAGAGAGAGAGAGAGAGAGAGAGAGAGAGAGTGAGAGAGAGGGACCTATATATAGAGAGAGGGGGAGAGAGAGAGAGAGAGAGAGAGACCCCTGGGGGTTTTCCTCGGGCCACCCTGCCTCCAACCGCAGTCTCCCTGAACGGTCGGGTCACGATTTGGAATGCTTCGGAGGGTGTCTTGGAGCCATCTTGGGCCGCCATGCGGCTCTGTTAGGGCCATCTTGGACCCCTGTTGTGCCGTTTTGGGGCTCTCTTGGACTGCCTGGAAGCTCTTCCGGGTGGTTGTGGGCCTATTCTGGAGCCTCCCAGGCGGCTTCGGACGCTCAGAGGTCCGCAGTCTTGGAGCGTCGGGGAACCGAAAAGAGGAGAACCCCAACATTCACCAAAAACCCACAACAAGTCAATGATGCTTGCCTCCTGGGGCATTCTTGGGAGTGCTCTTGGAAGCTTCTTTGGGCGTTTGGGGGCGATCCTTGGGGGTATGACGGCTTCTTGGGGGTCGTCGTGGACCGTATTGGAGCTCTCTGGGGCCGTTTCGGGAGCGCGCCGGAGCGCCGGGAACCCGACTGGGGCCGCCTTCGGGCTCTCGCGAGGTTCTCCCGGGTCGTCTGAAGGGTTGCCCCGACGCCCGGGGAGGGCCACATTCGTTTGGTCGCTTCAAGCATAAATGACGTGCCAAATCCCCGATGGGGCCACCGTGCCGACGTCGACCGTCGGCGTGGATGCTCAAGTCTTGAAGGGCGCAGCCGCCCTCCCGTCATGCAAGCCCGAGGGTTCGGGCTTCAGCTTCTCTGCCACTGTGGTGCGATAGCTGCTGCGCGTTGGCGGTGGCAGGGCGCGCCGCCGGCGCCGCCAGAGCCGCGGGGGCTGCCCCTGCCCGCGAAGGAGGCTGCTTCGCCGCTGCTGGTGCCTTTGGCGGAGTGCATCGCGGCCGCCGTCGAGGCGCGCGAGGCGCCGACCTGCCCATCTCCGCGTACCTTTTGCCCAGCCTGCCAGGAGGCAGGCGACGCTGGGACTGCGTGGAGCTTGCAGGTGGGCGCATGTATGCTTCCTGGGGCTGGTGTTCCTGGAGCTCGCGAAGCTGCTCATCGCGATCTCCCGCAAGTGCCTGATGCAGCTGTGGCGCGAACTCCGCGCCCTGGGTCCTGCCGCTCACCCGTCTGACGAGGGGCCGACCTCATCGTTGGCTGTGGTCGCGGCCGGGCGCGCGCCAGTCGCCTCCGGCGGCTGCAGGGCCGCTGATGGCGGGCTTTCTCCACGCCGTGCGGTACCGCGTGCCTGGCCCGCTCCTGTGGCACGAGCGCCTCACGCTGGCGGAACGCGGGGCGCCCAGCTACATCCTCGCGCTGGATTTACTACGACGAGCCGAACGTGCCCGGGCTGGAGGCGGCCGAGGTCGCGCGGCTCGCAGGCCAAGGCGCTGCGCCAGCGGCGTTCGGCGGAGCCCACGTGCACCGTTTCAGACGGCTGCCGACGGCAGCCGAGGCCATCGCGGCCACCGCCCGCGCCATCGCAGCACGCTTCCTGGCCCCCCTTCTCGGCGTGCTCGACCTCGAGCTCGCAGGGGGGAACATTCTGGGCGTGCCTGCTGGGATACACAGGCTGACCGACCCTGCTGGTGCTCCGGCGGATGGGGGCGCGGGCGGGGCTGCGGCGGTCGCCGGCGTCGGCGGGCTCGTGGCTGCGCTCGGAGAGGCCTTCCAGCACCGCCGGCCGCCCCTGGCGCGCCAATGCCTCCTACGCCGGGCGGCGCGGCCTCCGCGCCGGCCCCCGCGGCCCCAGGAACTCCGGCAGTCCCCGTGGCCGCCGCCGCAGCCCCAGCAGCAGCAGTTGCAGCGGCGCCGGCTGCGCCGGCGCTGGCGCCGCCGCGCGTGGCCGTTGGGCCCGGGCCCGCCGCTGGCAGCATCGGTGCGCCGCCGCCCGGCCCGAGGGCGCTGGCGGCCAGCTATGACGTGCTCGGGCAGCGGCGCATCGAGTCTTGCGAGGGGGCCAGGCTGGAGGCTGTCAGGTCCCAAGACCTGCTTCTGGCTCTGCCGCTTCATCCGCGAGAATGGAGTCACGCCTCCTGGGAGGCACGCGCTGTTCAAGACGCTCGTCCGCCTCGCGGATGCCGACCCTGGCGTGGAGGGGCATGAGGGTTGCTGCTACGCCCTGCAGGAGGGCGTCTGCTACGATCAGCTGGATGTGGCGTCGCCGGCGTCGCGCGAGGTCGCGCGCCGCCCCCTGCAGGTTCAGGAGGAGAGGTGGCCGCCACCACCTCTACGACGACGACGAGGACGAGAACTACGATTGGTACCTCTTCTTCGGAGGCCAGCTCTCGAGGGCGAACTTGTGCGCTTGCCTGCTGCTGCAGCCCCACGTGGCCGCGGAGCTCTCGAAGGAGGCGGCGCTGGCGAAGGAGCGCCGCAAGGCGCAAGAGGAACGAGCCCCTGCGAAGCCCAATGTGAAGCAGAGAGGCGAGAAGGGCCAGCTGGGGCAGGGGGAGATGGTTGAACGCCCGGCGGCGGGGGGAACTTGGTCGCCCTCCGCCGCGAATTGCAAGTGGGCCTCTGAGGGCGTCTCCGTGCTGAACGACTTATGTGGCAGTTTTGGTTCCAGCTCCGACGTCGGTGTCAGCGCGGGCCAGCGCTTGGCCCTGGAGCGCATTCGCCGCAGCTACCGGCGGGTTGGACCGCGCCCTCGAGATCTTCTTTCAGGACAGGGAGCCCTCGGCGCGCTCCTGTCAGGCGCGCCCAGCTACACTAGCGGTGGCGGGCCCGTCGCCCCCTTCGACGGCGATCTGATCGCCTGGCTGTCCACTTCCAGCAGGCTTGTGCTCTTGACCGACCTGCTGGGTGACCTGGGCACCTCGCGGCTTAGGGATTAGAAAGGGGCATGTGCCACGACCGCCCCAGGCCGCTCGGGGCCGCCGCGCGGAGGCGCGCCCCCGGGGCGCGTGCGTCGACCTGGTGCTGAATCACAACGCGAGAGCTTACCCTACCTTCTTGAGAGATGCCTGGCTACGCGGAATGCTGCCTTGGAAGCGTGGACGCGGCGTGGGTTTCGGATTGTTTTTCGCGGGGCGCAATGATGGCGGCGCGGGGTCATATTCGACGCGCGAGTCATCAACTGCGATTCTCTGCCGGCCCCGTCCACGCGTTTGCTTACTCCGTCCGCCTTTGGCGCGCTGGAGGCGGATCAGAAGGTTTTCGTCGCTTCTGGTGACCTGGGGGCCGCCGCGCGCTGGAGCCTCCAGACACGATCGCGCGGCTCTCGTTGCCGAGCCTCGACGCGGGCCTGCTTCTCAGTTGCGGCGTTACTGGGCTCCCGGTGGCCGCCGGGGAGCCCGTGGCGCCCCGCCTGCGCGCGCTGCCGATGGGCTTCTCGCGGGCCCTACACTTGCGCCAGGGCGTGCTTCGCCGAGGTCTAAGCCTGGGAGGTTTTCCGCCCTGCCGCCCTATCGAGGACGGCCAGGCCTGGCGCTGCGTTCAGCGCGGGGCGCCGCTCGCTGCAGCTGGCGACGTGGATAACTTTTTCGTGCTCGGCACGCAGGCCAAGGAGACCGACCGGCGCTGCGAGGCAGTTGGGTTTCTCAGCTCGAGAATTTGGGGCTCGTCGTGCACGACCAGGAGCCCGCCAGTCACGACGCTGAGTTCCTCGGCTCGAGCTTGGCGCAGGGGCGCTTCTTGGCCACTCGCCCGAAGCGCCTCTGGAGGCTGAGGCTTGCGATCGAGAAGCTGCTCCGCATCGGCAAGTGCAGCGGGGCGCTCATGAAGGTCGTGCTCGGGCGCGCCACGCGGGCTGCGCTTCTTCGGCGCGAGGCGCTTTGCCTGATGCAGTCCGCGTGCGCCTTTGCCGCCGAGGCCGGCCCGCAGCCCATCGTGCCGCGGCAGTCCGCGAGGCGCGAGCTGTGGCCGTTGCGCTGCCTCCTGCCACTGCTGCAGGCAGACATCTTGGCTTGCTGGCATTCACAGGTCGCCGCCTCCGACGCTTCCGAGTTCGGGCTTGGCCTAATTGTCGGGCGTCGGCCCCCGACCTCGCGAGTCGTGGAGCTTGGGCGGCAGTCGGAGCGCTGGCGCTACCGAGTCGAGGGGGGGGGGGCCGGGCGCGCGAGGGAGCGCTCGGCAGGAATCGCATCTCTTCTTCATCCACTGCTGACGCAGAGCCTGCTCAGGCCGCCGTCCCCCCGAAGGCCCCCTTGGAGTTCTCGGGCGTTCCGGAGACCAGCTCGACGAGATCCCAGGGAATTTGCTGGAGGCGTCGTCTTGGGCTGGGGCTGCTGCTGCACAGATCTCGGAGGACAAGAACATGCTGGCCCTGGAGGGGGAGGCGTTAGTCCTGGCTGCCAGTCCCCTTCTTCGGAGCGCCTGGTTGGTCGACAACTTGCCGTTGGCCCTCGCGCCCACCACAGGCCGTGCCCGCTCCATTCATCTCAGAGGCCCACTTCGGAAGCTGGCCGCTCTCAGCTTGGCTTCGGGGTCCCGCTTCCATGCTCGCTGGATTGCGTCGGAGCTTTACCTTTCCGATCCGTTTCAACTGGTCCTCTGGCAGCCGTCGGGCGCAATCCCGGCCGCCCCCCGACGAAGTTGCAGAGGCCGATGCCGCGCTGCGTGCCCCGGGCGCCTGGCGGGAGGAGCCGGCAGTCCGCCCCTCGGGCCCTCTTGGCGCAAAGCTTCCTAGTCGGCAGGCAGCCGAGGCGCATGGCAGCGCACGCATGGCGGCACCACACCCATGTCAGCACGCCCTTCACACGCTTCGTGGCCTCATAGAGAGGGCCCCCCTTCCGGGAGGGCCCCTCCTTCCATGAGGGGACCTCCCTCCGGGAGGGGGGTGCAAGGGCATCTCGACGACCTTGCGCAAATCTAGCGGAGGTGTGCAGCGAGGCCACTTGTTAGCTGTGTCTATGATGGGCGATCGTCATCCGACGCCCTTGTCCTTCCGCCACAGGTGCAGGGTGTAGGGCGTACTCGAGCCAACGCTGCGTGCTCCTGGCTGAGAGTTGCAACTTGTAGCTGCGTGCGAGCGGCATCCATACCCTGTATCGTATCAAGCAGGGCCGCCATCCACATTATCATAATGGTTCTCGGGTGACAGACCCGTGCACCAATTCCGCACGTTTTGTCCTGCGGTCAGCTGCCTCCTCAGGTGCAGGGAGGCTCGGCGCCTTCGCGCTCTCGCGCCGTTTCGGCACCTGGGATGACGGCCTTCGCGGCGCGCATCAAGACGCGCGAGGAAGCTGTCACCAGGATCGGTGGCGTCAGCTACGTTCTGCTGGGGCCTCCGAGCAGAAAATCACCCGCTCCCTCCCGCAACATCCTCTCTCCTTCCCTCTCTGCTACGCCCTCCCTTGTACAACCCCTTCGTATCAGACCGCTGCATCTCAGACAAGCTCCCTCGTCACTCTCTCCCTCCCCTTCCGCCCGCGCTCCTTCCCCTCCCCTCTCTCCCTCCCCGTGGGCTTCACGAGCTTTGGCCTCGAAGGACAGTGGCCGAGACCAGTGGTGATGATGCTTCGCGCATTCCTGGGTCCCAGAGGACAGGTCAATCAATGCCTCCATCGCTCCCTCCCTCAAGGTCCCCCTCTCCCCCCTTTCCGTTCTGCGCCCCTGCTCTCCTGATCCCTTTTGATCCCACGTGTGCGACGTGAGAAAGAGGGTCGACCACGCGAACATTTTGCGTGCAAGTTGCCCGCGCAAGGCTGCGCGAAAGCGCCCTCATCTCCATGCGGTGTGCCTCGTGGGCGGCCTGCGTAAGCCATCCCATGAGTCCGCTGGGCCCTCTCGCGCAAGGGCCCCTTTCTTAATGTCCTGCCGGCTTCCCCCCTCTCCAGGAAACTCCAACATGGATCAAGGCGTGTAGATTAGCGACGCGCCGCGTTTTCGCACAAACTCGGCGAGCTCCGTCGCCAAATCGGGAGGCGCTGGCTTCACGTTTCGGAGGGTACTTTGCCCGATCCGTGGATCGGGCGCCAACGCGCCAGATCCACAGATCCCTACTCCATGTCAGCGTGCGCCCGACCCTCCTCCTCCCCTCTCCCAAATCGGGTTGTCGGGCCTCTCCTGGAGGCTCTTCCCGACCAGAACTTCGAGGCGGATCCGGCCGCGGCGATGAGAAGTCTGCCCCTGGACGCCCAGAAAGGGCGAAGCACGTCCAAGAGGCTCTATATCCGTCGATCCTCGGCCCTTCTGGGCCCTCGATCCTTCGATCCTCGATCCTTGATCCCACTCCTTGGAAGCTCTGCCTTGGCGCCCGCGCAGGCTTCTCCGGTGCAGGCCTCGGGCTGCATCGGCCCGGCACTTCGGAGCTCCTCGGGCCCTCGACCCTCGATCCGTACCGCACGTGGGCCAGTAGCTCGAGCGCCCTGCGGGCGCAAGACGCGCCCCGGACCCCCCCCCGGATTCATTCGAGGGTGCGGCAGTGGACCAAACATCAAGGGGCGCCCTCGAGGGCGTGGAGTTCCTCGCGCCTCGCGCTTCGGCTCCGACTCATCCTCGTCCTCCTCTTCTCCCCTTGGGGGCGGCGCGCGAGAGCCCGAGGGTATTCTCGCTCCGCGCTTCGCTCGGCTCAAGCATTGTCCGTTTTGGACGGGTCATCTTTCATACGTCCTTCGCTTGAAGCGCAGCCGTGCTCAGTGACTACGTATCTTCTTGAGTTTGAAACGCGTAGGGTGCCTCCCAAGATATCAATGGGCCCTGGGCGCCGAGGCAGTCCGTATGAGTTGCATTGCAGCTTGTACGGGGTGTTCACCGCGTTGCTTCTGGCGATGATGACATGTGAGGCGCGCTGTCTTGAGAGGCAGGGCTGTGCAAACAATCCCGCAGATTGGACCGATAGTAGAGGGCTTCCTTGCGACGACTACGAGGACTTGTGCATGGCATATGCTGATCAGGTCATGCATCGCCATTTCGTCTTCGGCTATCCTTCGGATGTGGGGAGCATGGGCCATTCGGCTGTGGACGCTTGCTGTGCTTGCGGTGGTGGACGTGAAATTTACGTCGCAACCTCCTTGATAAGCAACACCACCCCAGCAATCGCTTCCATAACAAGCATCACGTGGACAACCATCGCCACCAAATCTGTGAAGGGCAGGAGGCTCCTTGCCAGCACCACCGTGACGAGTACTACCACTATGACCAGCACCACCGCGACGAGTACTACCACTATGACCAGCACCACCGTAACTAGTACTACCACTATGACCAGCACCACTGTGACCAGTACTTCCAGTATATCGAACACCACTGTCATCATGACCAGCACCATGACCAGCACCTCCACCTTGACCACTGCTACCATGACCAGCACCACTGCCCTGACGAGCAGAACTGCAACCAACACCACCATCCTGACAACTGCCACCATGACTAGCACTACTACCCTGACAAGTACCACTGCGACCAGCACCACTACGCTGACCACCGTTATCATGACCAGCACCATGACCAGCACCTCCGCCTTGACCACTGCTACCATGACCAGCACCACTACCCTGACGAGCACCACTGCAACCAGCACCACTACCCTGACAAGCACCACTGCAACCAGCACCACTACGCTGGCCACCGTCATCATGACCAGCACCATGACCAGCACCTCCGCCTTGACCACTGCTACCATGACCAGCACCACTACCCTGACGAGCACCACTGCAAACAGCACCACTACCCTGACCACTGTCACCATGACTAGCACCACTACCCTGACAAGCACCACTGCAACCAGCACCACTACGCTGGCCACCGTCATCATGACCAGCACCATGACCAGCACTTCCGCCTTGACCACTGCTACCATGACCAGCACCACTACCCTGACGAGCAGAACTGCAACCAGCACCACTACCCTGACTACTGCCACTATGACCAGTACCACTACCCTGACAAGCACCACTGCAACCAGCACCACTACGCTGACCACCGTCATCATGACCAGCACCATGACCAGTACCTCCACCTTGACCACTGCTACCATGACCAGCACACTACCCTGACGAGCAGAACTGCAACCAGCACCACTACCCTGACAACTGCCACCATGACTAGCAACTACCCACAAGTACCACTGCGACCACACCACTATCGATCATGACCAACACCATGTCCAGCACCTCCACCTGACCACTGCTTCCATGACCAGCACCACTACCCTGACGAGCACCACTGCAACCAGCACCACTACCTGACAAGCACCACTGCAACCAGCACCACTACGCTGGCCACCGACCAGCACCATACCACACCTCCGCCTTGACCACTGCTACATGACGAGCTGCACACCAACTGCAACCAGCACCACTACCCTGACCACTGCCACCATGACTAGCACCACTACCCTGACAAGCACCACTGCAACCAGCACCACTACCCTATCCACTGCCACCATGATCAGCACCATGACCAGCACCTCCACCTTGACCACTGCTACCATGACCAGCACCACTACCCTGACGAGCAGAACTGCAACCAGCACCACTACCCTGACTACTGCCACCATGACCAGTACCACTACCCTGACAAGCACCACTGCAACCAGCACCACTACGCTGACCACCGTCATCATGACCAGCACCATGACCAGTACCTCCACCTTGACCACTGCTACCATGACCAGCACCACTACCCTGACGAGCAGAACTGCAACCAGCACCACTACCCTGGCAACTGCCACCATGACTAGCACCACTACCCTGACAAGCACCACTGCAACCAGCACCACTACGCTGACCACCGTCATCATGACCAACACCATGTCCAGCGCCTCCACCTTGACCACTGCTACCATGACCAGCACCACTACCCTGACGAGCAGAACTGCAACCAGCACCACTACCCTGACCACTGCCATTATGACCAGTACCACTACCCTGACAAGCACCACTGCAACCAGCACCACTACGCTGACCACCGTCATCATGACCAGCACCATGACCAGCACCTCCACCTTGACCACTGCTACCATGAGCAGCACCACTACCCTGACGATCACAACTGCAACCAGCACCTCCAGCCTGACAACTGCCACCAGGACTAGCACCACTACCCTCATAAGCACCACTGCAACCAGCACCACTACCCTGGCTACCGTCATCATGACCAGCACCATGACCAGCACCTCCACCTTGATCACTGCTACCATGAGCAGCACCGCTACCCTGACGAGCACAACTGCAACCAGCACCTCCACCCCGACAAGCACCATTGCAACCAGCACCAATACCCTGACCACCGTCATCATGATCAGCACCACGACCACCACCGTGACCACTACGTTTACCACAACCAGTGCCTCCTCATTGACCAACTTCACCGCGTCCACCACCTCTTCCCAGACCAGTGGCACTACAAGCAGCAGCATTACCGCGACCATGAGCAGCAGTACTGCCCTGACCACAAGGACCAGCACCACCAGCGTGATATCTGCCACAATGACGACCAGCACCGCGACTCGCAGTAGCACAACCAGCCTCACAACCGCGTCCACTGGCACCGTGACCACAAGCAGCATGACTTCCTCAACTACCGCGCACACCACCACCTTCGGCACTACTTCCCAGACGAGCACCACCACCGTGACCACAAGCAGCAGGACTTCCTCCACTACCGCGCACACCACCAGCCTGACCAGCACCAGCCCGACCAGCACCAGCCCGACCAGCACCAGCCCGACCAGCACCAGCACCACCGTGAGCAGCACCTCTGCGTCCAGTACCAGCTCAACTTCGTCTACTACCACTACGCCGCTTTACGTTGTAAGCAGTTCCGTAGTATTTGCAAGCTCTGGCACGCGAGACAATGTAACAAATGTAATGACTGCTCATCTCCTGGATCTGTATGGCCTAGAACCCGATCAACTCTCGATATCCGTTGAAGGTGCCTCTCCCGCAAGCCGGTCGTCCAGCACTTCGTATGTTGTCGATTTTGAGATTGTCGCACCAGAAGATGATGCCACGCAAATCTTTGATATTACAAACCAAATGGCCAATGATACATCAAATTTCTCTGCATCTCTGCAAGCGAGCTTCGAGTCGCAAGGCCTGGAGGCAGCAGGAATTACAGTTACAGCGCCAGAAATCAAGATTGTTACTGCCACCCGGACAACAGTTAGCGTGACAAAGACGAGCACAACGGCGACCAGTACCACCACTGAGACCACTGCCACCATGACCAGTGCCACCATGACCAGCAGTGCCACAATGACCAGTACCACCATGACGAGCAACACCACTACCGGTTCCACTGCTACCATGACCATTACCACCATGACCAGCGCCACAATGACCAGTGCCACCATGACGAGCAGCACCACTACCGGTTCCACTGCCACCATAACCAGTGCCACCATGACGAGCACCGCTATCCAGACGGGGTCCACTGCCACCATGACCAGCACCGCAACTGCCAGCATTACCTGGACCATTACCACGATCACCACCACCACCATTTTCGGTGCAACCACCACGCTGACGACACAGACGAGCATCACCACGCTACTTTGGTCTGTGAGGGCCTCAATGGAGTTCGTTAGCTTTGGCACGCAAGAACAGGTGGAGAGTGCCGTGTCGACTGCTTTGGCTGAATATTTCGAGGTGCCCTTGAGTATTGTGACCGTGACGGCCAGGGAGTTCACAACCTTGAATACGGCCAGGAAGCTGACAAGCTTGAGTTCTTGGACAGTCGATTATGAGATAGCTTCAGATGAAGACACCATCGACAGAGTATTCGATTCTGCGAATGAGCTGTTGGACGGAACCAACGATTCATTCGCCGCTGTTCTGACGACCGCTTTGGCACATGAGGGAATTGAAAACGACGGCCAGGTTCAGGTAACCTACGGCCAGCCCCAAAAATTGGTTGTCCCAACCTTGGCGCCGGATCCCGTGACGACAGCGACGGGAGAAGAAGACGATTACCTCCTGGTTGTCGTGGGCACCACTGTTAGCGTGATCATCGTCTTATGTGCTCTGGCCCTCTGCTCCGTGAGGTACTGCCTGTGGCGCAAAAACCAGCAGCGGGCCCAGGAGGAACGGCAAGACATAATCCTGAGCATGGACATTCCCGAGAGAAGCCCTTCGGAGGGCGGCCCTTCTGAATACAGCTTTGCATGTTAGGATACAGATGTACAGAGTGCTCTCCCAGAAGATGATTGCTTGTGTGGTGCCTGGTGCCAGACACCGAGTCGCGCTGCGGTTGTCCTAGACTCAGACCTTTCCCGTTTCGCTGCTACTGCCAGCAGCGTTCAGCTGATTCTGATTTCTAAGGCCTTTTGCAGAGAGGAGAGGAGGTCGAATGCCCTCTTGCTCCCGCCTCGGCGTCCGACGGACCATTTGTTCTCGTGTCTCACTGTCTCTCGTGCGGCCCTGCCTGGCAAGGCTTCGCTGGGCTGCCTACCCTGCCCAGCGCGCGGCTCGGCTGGTGCAGCTCACGGGCCGGCCGCGCTCGTGCGGCTCGGCCCAGGGCGACGCGCCGGCAGGTGTCCTGGCAGGCCAACGTGGCGCTGGCTGGGGCACGGACCGCGGAGCAGCTCGGGGAAGAGGAGAAGGAAGCTGTGAGGGAGGGAGGAACGGCTTTTCCAGCACCCACTAGTGCTTCTGCGAAGGACACGCCGCTGCGAGCCGGGCGTTCCCCGAGCGCCAGCCGCGGCAGTTTCACCACAAAGGCTTGGGCATTATTCTTGGTGACGCGTATCCCCACCAGTTCGTCTCGCATTGCGCCCCTGTCGAGATTGACCCGCTCCCTGGAGCCGTCCTTGGAGCCGCAGATCGAAAAAAAGTATCCCACCAGCCCATCCAGAAACGATTACCAGGTGAGTTGGTCGATCAGGGACGCCTGGAAACACGCGGTCGCACAGCTGTTTTGGAAGCGTAAAAACAGGGTGGGCCGTACCCTGGACCAGAAAACAAGGACCTTCGCGCAGTGAAGTTTAAGACAGAAATCAGTGCAAGATGCGCCATGGTGCTCCCTTTGGTAAGCGTCTCTGGCGCAGGTTCCTGTATCTACGATCCGACGCCAGCGCCGCGCAGATTAGAGTCGCATCTCGATGGACATCCTTGATCTTAACCCTTGCACTGATTTGTATCTTAAACTCACGTGCGTTTCGAAATTGCTCAGGTGCTGGTGCTGCTGCCGGTGCTGCTGATGATGCTGTTGCTGGCGCTGCTGTTGTTGATGCTGGTGCTGATGTTGCTGTTGCTGGTGCTTGTGCTGCTGCTGGTGCTGCTGCTTGTGGTGCTCCTGCTGCTGGTGGTGCTGCTGCTGGGGCCATCTTGGGGGTAGGAGGAGAAAGAGGAGGAGGAGGAGGAAAAAAGGAGAAGGAGGACGGGGAAGAGAAGGAAGAGCAGGAAAGTGGCACGGGGAGGATGAAGAGGAGGAGGGAGGAGGCAGGAAGGGAGGAAGGAAGGCGCGGATGTCCCACGGCGGCTTGATTGGCAACACCGGTGAGTTGGGAGAGCTCTTGTAGCGAAAGGTGTCGGGCTGTAGCTGCTGGTATCGTTGGTGTTGTCGTTGTAGTTTGTGCTTATGGTACCGCTGCTGCTGGTGTTGATGCTGGTGCTACTGATAGTGCTGCTGGTGCTGGCGATGCCTGGGACCATCTTGGGGGTAAGAGGAGGAGGAAGAGGAGGAGGAAGAGGAGGAGGAGGAGGAGGAGGAGGAGGAGGAGGAGAAGGAGGACAAACAGAATAGGAGGAGGGGACGATGACAAGGAGGACGAGAAGTCGGGCTTAGGGGATATATTGTGGTGAGGGTTTCTTCGAAGCGTCGTAATGCCATTTTGGCGCCATCTTGGAGCCCTCTTGGGGTCCTCTTGGGGCCTTCGTGGGGCCCTCTTGGGGCTCATGTGGGGAGTCTTGGAGCCCTCTTAGGGCTCTTTGGGGAGGATTGGGAGGCCTCTTGTGGCCGTCTTGGGCCCCATTGCTAAAAAAGAGGGGGTCGTCTAATTCCCGCCGCCCCCTCGGAGGCTCACAAATGCTGTCTTGGAGCCGTCTTGGGCAGTTTTTCTTCTAAGGCGTTCTTGGCCGCTCTAGGGGCCGTCTTGGGGCCCTAAGCTAAGTATTGCCGTGTCGACTGCTTTGGCTGAATATTTCGAGGTGCCCTTGAGTATTGTGACCGTGACGGCCAGGGAGTTCACAACCTAGAATACGGCCAGGACGCTCACAAGCTTGAGTTCTTAAACAGTCGATTATGAGAAAGCTGCAGATGAAGACACCATCGACAGAGTATTCGATTCTGCGAATGAGCTGTTGGACGGAACCAACGATTCATTCGCCGCTGTTCTGACGACCGCTTTGGCACATGAGGGAATTGAAAACGACGGCCAGGTTCAGGTAACCTACGGCCAGCCCCAAAAATTGGTTGTCCCAACCTCGGCGTCGGATCCCGTGACGACAGCGACGGGAGAAGAAGACGATTACCTCCTGGTTGTCGTGGGCACCATTGTTAGCGTGATCATCGTCTTATGTGCTCTGGCCCTCTGCTCCGTGAGGTACTGCCTGTGGCGCAAAAAACAGCAGCGGGTCCAGGAGGAACGGCAAGACATACTCCTGAGCATGGACATTCCCGAGAGAAGCCTTTCGGAGGGCGGCCCTTCTGAATACAGGTTTGCATGTTAGGATATAGATGTACAGAGCGCTCTCCCAGAAGAGGATTGTTTGTGCGGTGCCTGGTGCCAGACACTGAGTCGCGCTGCGGTTGTCCTCGTGGTGGTTGTGCGCACGCGCGCCCTATGATTCTTCTCATCAGTTGACTCTTCTCAGAAAACTGTGCAGTTGCCCATCGCCACCAGAGCGAGGGAATACTGATGAGCTGTATGCCGTTCAGTTGGGAAGGTCAGACTTAGGATCGGACGATTTTCCATTGCCTGCCACGCTGTGAGCCATGTGGGTGGAGGGATGGTTGCGATGGCAGGAATCAATGGAACGGGGATGCGGGTCGGGAGGGGGGATACGCTTGGAGCGCGGCTGCTGTCCAGGCGCTTTGTGGGGCTCGGCCACCACTCTCTGCAGAAGTTTTTGACGAGGAGGCGGCAGTGGCAGAGTCCTTCCTCGCGGGTTCGAGTGGCCATTCGGTCCCAGACTCAGACCTTTCCCGTTTCGCTGCCAGTGCCAGCAGCGTTCAGCTGATTTTGATTATTGAGGCCATCCGAAGGAGGGAGTTCGAATGCCCTCTTGCAAAAATACCCCGTTCTATCACTTCGAGGGTCCGTTCTACCACTTACCTTAGTCCGTTCTACCACTTACACTTAGAACCCTTCTACCACTACACTTAGTCTGGGGACCCGTTCTACCACTTAGTCTGGGGACCCGTTCTACCACTTAGTCTGGGGACCCGTTCTACCACTTAGTCTGGGGACCCGTTCTACCACTTAGTCTGGGGACCCGTTCTACCACTTAGTCTGGGGACCCGTTCTACCACTTAGTCTGGGGACCCGTTCTACCACTTAGCCAGGGGCCCGCCTGGGGGCCCGCCAGCCCAGGGACCCGTTGTACCACTTAGTCTGAGGACCCGTTCTACCACTTAGCCAGGGGCCCGCCTGGGGGCCCGCTAGCCAATGGGCCGGTTCTACCACTTAGCCTGGGCACCCGTTCTACCATTTAGCCAGGGGCCCGCCTGGGGGCCCGCCAGCCAAGGGGCCGGATCTACCACTTAGTCAGGGGGCCCGCTCTACCACGTAGCCGGGGGGCCCGTTGTACCACTTAGCCAGCGGGCCAGGGGGCCCGCACCACCATTTAGCCAGGGGGGCCTGTTCTACCCAATTGGCCAGGGAGGTCTGTTCCACCCCGCCAGGCAGGGGAGGCCCCTTCCACCCCATTAGCCAAGGGGCAAGGCGGGGTGCCCCTTCAGCCAGGGAAAGGTCCCCCAACGACCGGTTTCTCGATTTTTATAAGGATCAAATCTCGATTTAATTCTTCCAGCAGTGCGTTCTTGCAGTGGGAGAACGGATAAAATTGGATTCACATGACTGTTTTACGGTTACTTCTACTATTACTACTACTACTACTACTACTACTACTACCACTACTACTACTACTTTTACTACTACTACTACTACTACTACTATTACTACTACTACTACTACTACTACTACTACTACTACTACTACTACTATTATTACCGCCGCCACCACTACTACTATTACTACTACTACTACTACTACGACGACTACTACTACTACCACTACTACGGCTACTGCCACCACCACCACCACTACGACTATCACTACTACTAGGAACTACTACTACTACTACTACTACTACTACTACTACTACTACTACCACTACTACTACTACGACTACTACTACTACTACTACTACTACTACTACTACTACGTCTACTACCACTACGTCTACTACTACTACTACTACTACTACTACTGCTACTACTACTACTACTACTACTACTGCTACGACTACTACTACTACTTCTACTACTACTAGTATTACTACTTCTACCACTACCACGACCACGACCACTACCACTACCTTTGCTACTACTACCACTACTACCACTGATACTACTATTATTACTACTACTACTACTATTGCTACTACTACTACTACTACTACTACTACCACTATTACTACCACCACTGCTGCTACTACTACTACTACGACTGCGACTGCGACTACGACTACGACTACTACTACTACTTCTCTACTACTACTACTACTACTACTACTACTACTACTACTACTACTACTACTACTACTACTACTACTACTACTACTATTACTACTCCTAATATTACTACTACTACTACTACTACTACTACTACTACTATTACTTCTACTACTACTACTACTACTACTACTGGTAATGGCATCAAGTGCCTCCGGGCTGTTTTCAACGCCCTTGGAGCGGCAACGCGTTTGCTGCCCTAGGGAGGCTTTGAATAGGAAAACGCAAAACAAAGAGGAGAAAGGAGGAGGGGAAAGAGGATGGAATGGGCATTTTCCCGGGAGGCTAGCAAAAGGATGGGAGGGATATTGCGGGGGTGGAAAAGACAGAAGGGGGGCACATGAGATAGACAAAAATGCATACTATCACCAACATGTAGGAAACACATGCGGTCGCGTGCAGCATCCCTCTGGCTGGTTGTGTGTTTTTGTTGGGCTTGGGGGCCTCAGGACACGATTGTCGCCTTGTTCTGAGCACTTAATAGCAATGTGGGGGCGCAAAAAAATGCTGGAGCAAGAGGCCTTAGGCGCCAGCGTTTTGGGTATCTGAGAGCCTTAGGCGTTTTGGGGCAGTAGGCGGCGTCTTGGGGCCTTAGGCATCTTGGGGACTTTCGGCGTCGTGGGCATCGAGGGTAGAGGAAGTGAACCTTAGGTGTCTTGGGTATCCAGGGCAGAGCCAGACGTCTGGGCAGGACGGATATAAAGTGCCAGACGTCTTTGGTAGGACGGACATAAACTGCCGCGCATACATACACGCATACACGTACACACACGCTTTGGGCACCTAGGGGCAGTATGGGGTCTTAGGCGGCGTCTTGGGGCCTTAGGCGTCTTGGGTATCTAGGGGAGAGTAAGTGACAGACGTCTGGGCAGGACGGCTATACATTGCAAAACGTTTTTGGCAGGACGGATATAAATTGCCGCGCATACGTACACGCTTTGGGCACCTAAGGGCCTTGAGCGTCTCGGAGTTTCGGCGGCGCGTTGGGGCCTTGGGCGGCGTCTTGGGGCCTTAGGCGTCTTGGGTATCTAGGGAAGAGTGAGTGGCAGACGTCTGGGCAGGACGGATATAAAGTGCCAGACGTCTGTGGCAGGACGGATATAAACTGCCGCGCGTACATACACACGTTTGACCCATGCAAATGTCACATGTTTGATTCGTCATCTTGGCTCGGCGTTTGGCCGTGGCCTCTCGCCCTCGGCGTTTGGCCGAGCCTTCTCGCCTTTGGCGTTCGGTCAAGCCCTCTCGCCTTCCGCGTTTGGTCGAACCCATGTGCCCTCGGCGTTTGGTCGTGCACTCTCGCCCTGTTGATGCGCCGTGCAGGCGCCTGGCGCACCTGACCTGACCATACATACACACATACACACACACGCGCTTTGGGCACCTAAGGGCAGTGCGAGTCTCGGGGCCTTCGGCGGCGTCTTGGGGCCTTTAGGCGGCGTCTTTGGGCCTTAGGCGTCTTGGTTATCTAGGGAAGAGTAAGTGACGGACGTCTGGGCAAGACGGAAATACAGTGCCAAACGTCTTTGACAGGACGGGTATAACCTGCCGCGCACACACGCATACACACATACGCGCACACACGCCTTGGGTACCTAGTGGCCTTGAGCGTTTCGGGACCTTCGGCGGCGTCTTGGGGCCTTCGGCGGCGTCTTGGGGCCTTAGGCGTCCTGGGTAGCTGGGGCCTAGTGCAGAGTCTCTAGAGTAAGTGGCAAATGTCTGGGACGGACGGGTATGATATAAAGTGCCCAAACGTCTCTGGCAGGGCGGATCCACAGGAAGCGCCAGACTGTTGAAGTGATATTGCTATGTCTACGTAGAACAGCATTCGGAGCAACCCTGCCCCCGGGTTATGAGTTCATTGCCGGGGCCTTTTTTATAAAAAAAAGGAATGGATGCGTTAGTCGCCCGAACACTAAATTCCAATACGATTTCGCTGGGTGGATTTGTACGACAAACGCCAGTGCATCTTTCTTACTGTACAGAATCTGTCGGATGCAATTGAATCCATCGTGGGAAGTATTGATGACATTCACCGTGGCCGTGTGCATTTCATCCGACATGGCTCTGAACTAGTCGCGTCTGGTTGTCTGCAGCGCTGTGGCCCGTATGTGATTGACAACTTGAGAGTGTTTTTGACGAAGCTGGGCGTCGGCGCGACCTGTGTGCATTCCACCGCGTGGGCCTTGATTTACATTGACGTTGCCGCCTCTAGACGTGAAAGCCAGATCAGCCAGATCCAACAGGGCAGAGAGACTGTGTTGAGAGAGCGTTCTGGTTCCACGAATAATATTGCGAGAAGTTTCCAGGACATGAGGCAACGAGATCTTGTATCAACATGTGTTGCGTTATCATCCAGACCCGCACTTGTTTCATCAGAAAATGCACAACTACGGAATGAGCGCAAAGTGGAATTGAAAGAGATCAGCGCGAATCATTGTCGCATTCTCCAGTTAGGAAAAAGACAACGAAGAGCTCCGAGCATCGTTTGCTAGACATTCATGCTTGAAGGGATTCCGCAGGAGCAAAGGCAATCCAACAAAGTTCCACAAAGTGGCTTTAGCTGGGAGGTACCGCCTTGCAATCAAAAGGGATTTGGGGTATGCTGGTTCTCTACACATCACATGTTGGGAGTGCGAGCGAAGAGCCACCACGTAGTCACTGATGCAGAGGTCCTCTTTCGTGCGAATGTGCGGCGTCGAAGCAAAGAGTGGCATGCGAACGTGCACGGGCAATTGCGCGATAGCGACGCAGCATGTCACCCTGGGGAAGCGGTCTTCATTGCGGAAGTCCATGGGGCCAGGGGAGATGCAACGCAGAATTAGGCTTGGCGTACACGCAAATTCTTCTCATCATAATGTTCCCCAGCATTTACGGCGCCTGGTCTGGTGGGGAAGTTGGCTCAGATTTCGCGCATTACTTGTCTTATCCTGACCCCACCTTCGCCCCTGATACCTTCGACTGGAGAGCAGGCAAAGTATCGTGGGAACAGCAGCCGCATGCAATTGGGGTTGAAACGTGGCGGGAAAAGGCCAAAGGAGAACAGTCACCCAACTACGCAATATGGATGTCGAGCTATGTTTGCTGCGCGGATGCTGGCCCGGACCTGGCAGGTGCAAGCGCGCGCATTCTGAAGGATACCGAAGACGTTCTGGGCTGTTGGATCTTTTTGACATTCTGCCTTCAACACCAACTTCACTTCATGGCGAAGCGCCAACTCCGCAGGCTTGGGCAGTATTTTGGAAACGTCGCGAAAATGAGCAAAGTGCGGCGGGCGCCGCCCAACGCATCGAACTTTTGCACAACATGGTTCAGTCTTTTCGGCAAGGAGCGCGGCGACACAGTGGCTAAGAAAATGCCGCCGAGGGTCTTGGCGGGCAGATTTGGTTGCATGCATTCCGTGGAGTCGTTCTATATTGCTTGCGGCATGAAAGAAGCCAGCCAGGTGTACTACGAAGTGCTCACAGGAAAGAAGCCCGTCAATATGATCAAGAAGAGGCTGGACGTTCTAGACGTGGACGAGGAGACTGAGTCCTACGACGAGAAGATGGGGGGGTGGTCGAGGGACGCTGGGTTAGCAGCGTCCGCCAGACATTGGACAGTCATGCACATGGCCCACGCTGCGCACGATCCAGCCATGAATATGGTGAACTGGCAAGACCCGAGCAGATGGGACCCTGTTTGGAAGCATCGTACAGCGGTGCCCATTTACGAGGCAGCATCGGAGTGTGTTTTACTTGCCTTGGAGGGCGCTACTGACTTCTATGTGCGCATTGGTGTCTTAGTGGGGAAATTGCAGAGTCAAATCTCTTGGATTGTGTGCAGCCCGGCCCGCGCTCGCTGCCCCCGGCGAGCTGGCGTTGCCCCGGAGTTGCTCGATATCCTTGGGGATGAGGTTATTCATGGCACCACCATCCGTAAGAGTGCTTACTTGCTCAGGACCGTGTGGGAAGATTGCGTGGCGACAGGTGGGATAATCCCCCAGGCCCCAGAGCGTTTGCGAGGTATTTTTAAGTGATTTCACGTGCCGTGCTGATAGATCCGCAAGAGGTCGAAGGGATGAACAGCATCGTCACGAACGTTATCCACCATGCGCCTGCCGCAGGTCCTGCCCTCATTAATGCCAGTGCGTTGGCCAAGAAGGAGCTGGCGATGTGCTGCAGGGGCCCAGGCGGCATCGAGGAGCAAGTGCAACTTTGCATTCGAGCCGATGCCCATGCTGGGTCACTATTAGCTTTGGAAGACAAGGGTCGGAATTTCTATTCTGCTTTGGGAGACACCAGCGGTGAAGCTCATCCTGATCTTCGACCGCTCCGAGATGCACCCCAGGCACCTCTGGCGCCTCTCACGATGGACGACGGCGCGCCGCTGAGCCAGATCGTCCGGGCTCGTCGTCCAGAGCCTGCTCCCGAGCCTCACCCAGCCCCCCGCCGCCGACGCCTTCAAAAAGCAGCCGAGCTGCCGAATCCCGATTGTGCAGGTTCCCGGATTTAGGAACAACAGCGGGGGGCCATGTAGATCCACGGAGCGAGATTTGATTTGGATTTGTGTCGGAGACGCTGGCTTATCCGACTTATCATGTCCTTTCTGTCTCTCACTCTCCCCCTCTATCAGCCCCCCCCCCCCCCCCCTCCCTCTCTCTATCTCCTCTCCCTCCGACCTCTTCCTCTTCAACCCCCTCCCCTCCTCGCCCAGAGGGGGCGGGGGCCCTGCAGAGGCGGAATCCATCGAGAGGCACCTCGCAAGCCTCACGAGATGGAGAAATATTGCACTCGACTTCTTGGTCGAATCAAAGCTCGTCTAGGCGGCGTGGAGCCGCGCTCCACGCGCCTGTTGGTCTTTGAAGTTGGGGCGCGCAACAATGTTGTGATCCTGACGCACCTGATCGCATGTGTTCCGTGGGTCGTTGAGGTCGACGTTTCTGCAGGCTGTCGGCTCGCCAGTCTTTCCCGCCCCCCCCCCCCCCCCTCAGGCCAGAGAAGTTGCTCGACGCATGTATTTCTCACCATGCGGATTGTTTTCAACAGATGACAGCGCTCGCGTTGAAGCGGGGCCGGGGGGAGAACCCAGTCGGCCAAGCTACAGTTGAGCAGGAACTCTGGAGTATATCCTTAGATGCCGAGTGTGCCTGCGCCAAACCCCAGAATGGCGATGATTGGGTCGATGTCTTATGGGGGGCTACGATGGAAGACCCCCCGGGCGAAGCAGGGGGGGAAGGACGAGGCGTGGCGCATCGGGGCGCGTTCGAGCAGGTACTGGGGCCGAATCGTTTTCCCGCCCTTATCCTGGGTGAGATCATAGCCCCCTCCTCATCATACCCCGTCATTGGCTGCTTGCTTTAGAGTTAGATGTCATGATGTCATCGGCTGTATTATACTATTCTGCTCCTCTGCTCCTCCTCCTCTCCTCGCCATTATGCCACCTTGCTGCTGCTGCTCCTCCTCCTCCTCCTCTCCTCCTCCTCCTCCTCCCCCTCCTCCCCTGCCCTCCTCATCCTCCTTCTTTTGTTGACGTTTCCCGAAACATAAGTAGAGTAGGTTGGCCCACTCCTCCTCCCTGAGAAGGTGCCTGCTGACATCGAGGGCCATGCGGGCCCTGGGGCTGCAGGCGGGTTTCGAGAACGCCGCGGGGGCTTCGAAGATCTTGACCGGGTCGCGCAAATGGAAGATGATGAACACAGGCCCGGGGGTCCGAGTCTCAGGAACTGCAGACTTGAGAGATAACGTTCGGCTGAGCCTCTCCCTCCTCTCCCTCGCTGAAGCTGGATGGGGGGGGGGGTCGATGGCGGCGATGGGGTGATCGGCGCACATCTGAAGGTCCAGGGGCTCAGAGGTTCGCGTCTCAGTCGAGCATTGCGTTGCAGTCTGAGCTTTGGACCCAAGGGGGCCTGCGAGAAACTTGCAGCGTCGTGCGAGGGTGAGCGGGAGCTTTCTCGAGTGGACCAGTTTGCGCATGATGCTGCCTGCGATCGTCTCGACCGTGGCCCCATATCTAGCGACGAGGTCGCCTGTCGCCACGAGGCAATCTTGCTGGCCCATCACGATGCAGAGGCGGAGGGGGGGGGGGGCCGCAGGTGCGCCAGCGCCAGTGCCGGGGCCAACCCAGCAGGACATTCGTAAGATTGCGAAGACGTGGGCAGCCAACGTTCGTTTGTCGCGCGGGGCCTTCGAATATGTAAGTCGACCAGAACGGTCCCCTGCCACTCTTAAATATAATGGTGTGTATTTGATATATCTCCGGGTTGGGGGAGACTGGACTCTCCAATATATTCATTGGGACGGTTCCAACAACACCGTGCGTTTAGTATCAACTGATAAGGGTTACGTGCATCATCGAGCGACTGCGCGCAAGAAAGATTTCTCATGACATGTTGGATCTGGTCGAGCTGCGTTTTCGATTAAGGCCACTGGCTGTGAAATGGTGAGGGCGCATGGCGCACATCGAGAGCCAGTTGTTGCAAGTATTGCGAGGATACGTAATATCATAAACAATCTTCTCGATCCAGCCCCTTGCAGGCGCGCATTGCGCGGTCTTGAACGCAATCCCTCGGGCCCAGATGGAGAAACTTATCGTTGCTCTATATGCTTGAGTCCCTTCCACGACTTCTGTGCAACCGAATTCATCAATCGCGCCATGGCAGGCGAAGATCCCCCCAACGAGTCAATGCTGGGCAGAGAACTTGGGGTGGTCCCAGGGTCTCCAGCAAACGAGACTCGGAGTGAATTCAAGGCAAGGCTGAAACGGGAGTTTGATACTTGCGTTTTCGATCCGAGTGTGGGCTTCACAGACTTTCGGGGATGTGATGCGCGCGTCTTCTGCGCATGTTCCTTTCTGAGATTCGGGGCGCACCGTTCATTAGTGGACCGGTCCGGGGTGGCCGTCCAGTGAAGATGGCACACCTGCGCCTTGCGCGTGTCCTGACAGGTGTCCGCCAGTTACAAGCATTCGGTGCGAGGGGAACGTGTGAAAGAAATTGCTTCAGTTGCGAGACAACATGCAGTGGGCGCGTGCGCTCCTATAAGCCATATAAGCTTTCGGAGGATTGCGAAATAATGGAATGGGGGGGGAGAGGAGAGGTGTAAGGACAACATGGATAGATAATTCGCGTTTCAGAGTCCGTGCTGAGCTGCAATGTGTTTGGCCCTTCACCCTAGGCCCCGCGGCCGAAGTAAGACCCCCCCCGGCGCAAGCTTCAGAGTGCAAGCCTGGGCAGGTCATCCATATTACGAGACAGATATGAGCCACCGTGTGTCCAGGTCCTTAGGTGCGGGGCCCAAATTGGTGTAGCCCACGTGGCTCTGGAGTTTCCTGGGGCAGGTTCTAGGGGCACGGGTTCCGTGAAGGAGCCGTTGTGCATGCACGTGCGTATGTGGCAATCTGTCTGCAGGGTTTTATGTCGCCGTTTGCCATTTCTCTCAAGCGATCGCCCCCTCGCTTGCGCCCGCGGGCACATGTTTTGATGGAGGCTCTGCGAGCAGAGCCTGGACGGACGGCCGACCGCGAGAGAGGACAACGAGTTTGAGACGCTGTGCGTATTCCGCCAACGACTTGCATGGCTGCAGGAGCTCGCGGTTGACGATGCGAAGATCCACCGAGAACCGCGATGAAGGAAGAGCATCGCGGCGATAAGGTGCCAGGCTGGGATGGAGATCCAAAGACCTGGCGGACACATCGACGGAAGGCCCTCCAGTACCAGGAGGGCACGAGGAGACAAGACAGGCACCTGTGTGGACCGAGGCTCGAGGCGAAGCTCACGGGCAGAGCTGAGGTTGCAGTGGGGCGCTGTAAGTCAGGCTGGCTCTCGAGAGATGACGGGGTGGAGCGACTCTTGGCGTGGCTGGAGCGCCGCTGCTCGCGCCAGGCGGTCCCGGACGTGGGACAGGAGCTGGAGACGTTCTTGATAAAGACCAGGCGCAGGGAGCTCGAGCCCATGCAACAGTGGACGGACATATTCGAGACCAGGTACCAGTACCTGCGACGCGCGCTGGCGCGCGCACTCGGCCGCCCGACTCCGAGCCCCCCCTCGACGTCAAGCTGGGCCCCCAGACAATGGAAATGGGTCGAAGTGGAGAATGAAGAGAACGACGAGGGGCCGAGCTGGGCGTGGGAGTACACCGACGGCCGAGGGGAAGAGGAGACAGGCTCTTGCATCTGGAGCGCCACCATTGACGATGACGCCGCGGAGGAGCTGGACGATGTGCCAGAGGTCTCCCCGAGCATCGCGCGCGGTTGGCTGATGCTCGCGCGCGCGGGCCTGGATTCCAGGGGGAGGTCGGCCATCCTGACTGCCACTGGTGGCTCATTGGAGGCCATCGCGATCCGCGACAAGTTGATCTCGACCTGGGGGGATGACGACCTGGCAGAGCGAGACGGACACGCCAGATACCCGAAGGCCTACACGGCGCAAGTGGGAGATGATGACCGCACCTGGCTCGACGAGGAGGACGTGGAGCAGGGTGCGGGCAGCTTCGCAGCCGAGCGGGAGCACGAGGAGTTCGAAGAGGAACCCGATATTGCCGAAGCCAAGGATGAGGAGATCGAGTCGTGCATGGCCGCCCAGCAGGAGGAGGTCGAGGCATTGGCTGCCATTCACACGGCCCAGCGTGCCCTTCGCCAGGCTCTCGATGCGCAGGCTGACAGCAGGCTGAGCCGCGGCTTCTACAGCGGGGGCCGGCCAGGGAGTCAAGCGCAAGGTGGTGGCCGAGGAGCCGGCGGAGGATTCCCAGCTGGATCTCGCCGGCCGATGGGCAACCAGTATGGAGGCCGGGGGATGATTCAACCCCCGAACAGGGGACAGAAGAAGTGCCCGAAGTGTGGAGGTGGTCACACTCTCCAGGATTGCCCTGACCGCCACGATCCTCGCCTCGGCACCAAGATGAACAACGCGCCCGAGGCGAGCGCAAATATGGCCACCCGCACGAAGGAGCTGAAGTTCAACCTAGTGGCCGCTATGGTCGCCGAGCAGGAGTCTGGGGACTCACCGAGCGAGGCGATGTTCGCTGAGCAGGCCATCTTGGAGGGCAAGGGGGTCGTCGACTTAGGCTGCACGGACACCATGGGTGGTGAGCATGCGCTCGACATCGTGGCCCGCGAGAACCTGGAGAAGTATGGCGACACGAGGCTCCGTGACGTGAACCTCAGCTACCAGCCAGTGTACAGCTTCGGGAACGCGGAGAAGGAGCGCGCCTACGGACAGGTGAAGTTCGGGATCACGGGCGCGGGCAACGAGGGGGACATCGCGATCAACGGGTTTGCGAAGGATGCCCCGACCCTCGTGTCGAAGAAGGTGCTCAAGAAGCGAGGGGCGGTCATTGACTGTGACACGGGTGTCGCAGTGTTCGTGATGCTTGCCCCGAATATCCCCGCGCAGCTGGAGGAGTCGCCCGATGGCGGACGCTGCTACATGAGCCTGGTCGACGACATCCTCGAGCACCGAGTGCAGGACCCCGTCAAGCTGCAGAACTTCAGGAAGATCAGCCATCACGTTTCTGAGTGGGGCAGGCCGGATCCGGCCGCCTTAATGGGGCAGGTGCCGTTCGGTGCCGACCAGTCCGAGGAATATGGAGAATGCTCACACTTGCTTCCCTCCCTCCACGTCGCCAGCATTCCCATGGGGCCGAGCGAGGGATTCCGAACAGTCCGAGACCCCGGGAGGCCACAAGCAGATACGGAGAGGGACCAGCAGGGCATCCATAGCCGTTCTGGCTCGAGCCCGGCGAGATCTCCAGCATCTGGATTGATCGACGCGGCGCAGCCTGTACCCCCAGAACCTACATACCCGACCGCTGCCAGCGGATGGCAGCCAGATGTTCTGCGGCAGCTTCGTCAGAGGAGCGCTCCGGCTGGCCTGCGTCAGTGCCGCCTGCAGGTGCAAGCCCGAGATGGGGAATGCCAGCTTCCCGCAGGGAGGTGCATCATCTCCGCAGGGCGGAGGCGGTGGAGCTGATCAAAGAGCTGGGTTTGCCCTTCAGCCTGGCGTGGTCGATGGGCGAGTTGAGGCGCGCCATCAAGGAGGCCCTCTTCCCGAGGGGCGAGAGCGCCTCTCAGGAGATCCCGAAGGGGATCCGCACCATGAAGAAGCAGGAGCTGGTCCAGAAGGCAGAGGAGGTCGGAGCCCACCTCGCGCCGAACCTGACGAACGCAGCAATGGAGCTGGAGATCCGCAAGGCCGTGCTGATGAAGACGAAGCCCGCGCCGACGGACTTCGTGGGTTCGGCAAGCACGGGGCCCTGACGCACCAGCAGGTCCGGATCCAGTGCCCGTCTTACGCCGAGTGGGCCCAGAAGGAGGCCAGCACCGAGAGCACTTGGGACTTGGGAGCTCAACCGATTTGTCTCGTGGCTCAACGAGATGAAGGTAGTCCAGGAGATGACCAAGGGCCCGGTGGAAGCTCCAGTGGAGCCTACCAGGGGACAAGGGGGCGCGAGGTCATCTCGTCGGCGCACAATGGACGTGATGATGGGGCGGCGAGCTCGACGAGATGATGCTGCTATCGGCCCACCAGGAGGAGCTGACAGCCAACCGCCAGGTACAGAAGGAGATGCTGACGGCCCTGGGCAAGCTCAATCAGAGGCTGGAGCGCCTCGAGGCGCCGAGAGCTCCGAGTTCCGCGGACAGTTCTATCGCAGTGGAGCCCAGTCAGAGTGGTCCTGCCAGGGTCTGAACTATGTCAAGGAGCCCGATCCCAGGAAGCAGCGCTGGCTCGCGAAGGGCATCAGGGAGAGCAACAGCACCGAGGACTTCGAGGCGCTCATGTCACATGGGGGTGTCAAGCTCATGGAGCTGGCCTGTAGCCCCGCATCCATCCTGAGCACGAAGATGGCCGAGAAGTTGGGCGAGGATGCCGTGCAACGGGTCAGCTCGTGGAACGGACACAAGCTCGGGGCGGGCCAAGGTCACTAGAAGGCCCGGGAGACCCGGGACAAGGCCGAGCCCGACCACCTGGATCAGCACTCGGTGTGGTCCTCTATCCACGCTGACTCTCGGTGTCAACGCTTCTAACCCAGCCAGGGCAGAGATGACCAGAAAACGACGGCTCCAAGCGATCAAAGAGTATAAGGGAAAGGTGCAATTGGTGCACGACCAGGTGGCCCAGGGAAGGCGCGCCCACTGGGAGTGGCCCATCAAGTGCGAAGGATGGGGCCATGCCATGATTCGCCAGATGATCGAGGACTGCTCGATGACCGCGGTGAAAGTGGCCGGGTGCCAGCTCGGGGTCAAGAATGAGAAGGGAGGGCCCCTCTTGAAGGAATGGCTCATCGCTGCGACCTCACCGAAGATAGCGGCTCGGATGGCCACAGAATGCCCAGGAGGTCATCGGCATGGTGAGCTCGTGGGCGGGGGCCTCACGGCCTCGACAAGCTACTGCGCGGGCGAGTTCGCCCGGGGGGCCGCGCGGGCCATGATCGAGGAGGCCGCGCCGGACTACCACGAGTTCTTGAGGAGCATGTCCACGGAGAATGAGACCAACGGGCACGCCTTCGCGGGGCGCCGGGGTTCGAACTCACCCGCTGAGGACCCTGGCTCCAAGGAGTGCCAGAAGATCATGCAGTGGCTCACGTCTGTGCACCGAGGGCCCGGTCACAGCTCCAAGGCGTCCATGCTGAATGCGCTGAAAAGGAAGGGGGTGAGCTCCATGGTGCTGAGGGTGGCCCCGGACTTCCACTGCGAGGCGTGCGAGGAGGCGAACAACCACCGCCTGACGCACCCGCCCGTCAGTCTCGAGGCCGTACCCCCGAAGTGGAAGCAGATCCAGGCGGACCAGTTCAAACGGGGGCACCCCCGGACGAAACTCAAGGCCAAGCTCTCGCTGATCATTGACGAGAACTGCAAGGTCCGGGTCACTCAGCTGTTATACCACATGGTGGGTCAGGAACGCCACAGGAATCCCGTCTGGGCAGACCTCAAGAACTTCTACGAGGAAAGGTGGCTACCGTACTTCGGGAAGCCGCGGCGCGTGAAGGTGGACCCCGAGGGCTCCTGGATCTCCGAGCAGGCCGCTCAGCATTTTGACTCAGACTCCATCGGGTGCGAGCCGATCCCCGGCCAGGCTCACTGGCGCATTTCTCTCGCGGAAGAGGCGATCCAGGCAACCAAAGGGGCGATGGGCAAGCTCGTGACTGAGAGCCCGGACATGTCCACCGAAGAAGCCCTGGCCCGCGCCGCCGCAGCCGGGAACTCACGGGAAGACGTGCGAGGCCACTCCCCCCTGCAGCACGCTCTGGGAGGGGCCCCTGACCTGGACGGCCATGTCTTCGAGAGCGACTTCGACGAGCTGCCCTGCGTCGAGGCTCAACGGGTCGACAAGGAGTACGGCGAGAACTACATGAGGATGTGCGCGGCCGAGCAGGAGTGCCTGAGGCAGGCGCACCTGCGTCGCCTGAGTCGCGCAGAGTATGCCAAGAACCACGCGCTCAAGGCCGCGGCGCCTGGCATGTGGGCGCGCTATTTCCGCAAAGAGAAAGGCGAGGTCAAATGCCGATTCAAAGGGCTCGCGCGGGTGCTCGCGGCGGAGACGAGCCGGCCCGCGGACGGTGACCTTGGAGCAAACGCGACATTGCATCCAGGTCGTGCTGGACCTGTGGTCTGGTTGGTCCGGGCCGGGCGCATTATCAAGGTAGATTTGTGCCAGATCCGAGCTGCCTCCGCGCGGGAGATCGCCTGCGCTGAGGTCATGGCGGGCAAGGGCACGCCTTGGACCGTGAACACATTCATGAATCAGGCGATGCGGCAGGAGTACCTGGACTTTTCGGGGCACGACCCCGCGGAGCAGGACGAGGAACTCGCATCCTGGGATGGGGGTGCCGGAACCAGCACCTCCAGTGAAGAAGGCCCGCCACGAGGAACCGCCAAGTGGGGCCAGGTCCGAGCGCAACCAGATCCCTGTGCGCAGGGCGATTCGGAAGCAGGTACCACCGCCAGGAGGAGTGGCCAGCATCGCGAAGGCAGCCCGGGCTGCGCAGGCAGAAGATGCCATGATGGAAAGGGCTGCCCTCATGGCCAAGGCATCCCCGGATGCACGATCCTTCTGGGCACGGCGGGGGGCATCCCTGGAGATCTCGGTCGAGCTGCCCCTGGCAGGAAAGCCCCTGAAGCAGGCTACGAGACACATGCGCACCTACATGGCAGGCCAACTGAAAAGAGGGAAGCGAGAGATCTCGGAGCGGACCCTCGCCCCGGAGGAGGTGAGGAGGTTCGGCGTCGCCAAGGCCACCGAGGTGAACAACTGCGTGATATCCTCCGTGCTGGAGTCCTTGCCGCCCGGGGTCACACCGCCACCAGAGGATGCAGTGCGCACGCGGTGGATCCTGGAGTGGAAGATGGATGAGACTACGAGCGGGAAGAAACCCAAGGCCCGGATCGCGGTGTTGGGCTACATCGATCCTGAGTGCGAGCACCGGCCGACGACCGCCCCAACCATGACCAGGACCTCCCGGCACCTGGTGCTGCAGGCGATGGCGTGGCTCGGGCTCAAGGGTTACAAGGCCGGCGTGACAGGAGCGTTTACCCAGAACCGGGAGATCAAGCATGACCTGTTCGTGATACCCGTGAAGGAGCTGGCCGTCGCCCTGGGGATGCCCGAAGGGGTTGCGATGCGACTGCGGAAGGCAGTCTATGGGCTCGTGGAGGCAGCCATCGAGTGGTTCATGACGGTGAGCGAGGCCCTGGAGGAGTTCGGCTGGGCGCAGATGAGGATGGACCCATGCGTTTGGGTACTCTACGGCCAATCCCACGGCCAGGACACCAGCTTCACGAAGGAGGCCCTGGGCCAATTCACAGGGTCCGAGGTACTGGGCGAGCTGATCGCGGCGAAGGGTAACCTGGACATTGTGGCTACCGCAGGGTCCCGCGTGGATGACTTCCTGCTCGGAGGGAAAGAGGCGGACCCCAGGTGGATCGAAGCCCGGAAGAAATTCGAAGAGCGATTCAAGTGGAAGGCATGGGAGACCGACGAGTTCATGCAGACTTGAGTCCGGATACGGCAGCTGCCAGATATGAGCTTCAGAATGGACCAGAGTGAGCATGTCAAGACCATCGAGAAGGCAGTCGTGAGCCCGGAGCGAAAGAAGAACAAGGACGCCCCGACCACCGACAAGGAGAAGGGGCAGCTAAAGACAATCCTGGGTGCCATCGGCTGGCGCTCCGAGCAGTCAGGCCCCATGCATTCGGCGGACACAAGCCTGTTGCTAAGCGCGATGCCGCCATCCACCGTGCAGACCCTCCTGGACACTAACCGCCTGGTGGACAGGGCGCGGGAGGGAGCAGACCTCCCTGCGGTCATCCACAGCCATTCTAGCGCGCCGGTGATCGTTCCCATCGAGTGGTCAGATTCCTCGGAAGCGAACCGCCCCGACGGAAAATCCACCAAGGGACTTGTCACAGGGATGGCCCCACTACGCATCTTGCAGGGAGATGAGCCAGACGTGAGCATGATATCATGGAAGTCAGGAAAGATTGACCGAGGGTGCCGGAGCTCAGTATCATGTGAGACCCGATCAGCTGTGGACGGTGAGGACGAACTGTTCGGGGTCGAGCTCCAGTGGGTGGAGATCCTCGGCAAGCAGATCGACTGGCGCAACCCGGAAGGGAAACTCAGCCAGTTACCCGCCGCCCTCGCGGTGCACTCCATGGGTCTCTACGACAAGCTGCAGACCACAGTGTGCACAATCCGCGGCAAGGAGAAAAGGACTGACGTGGAGGCCATGACCCTGAAGGAGGGATCGACGGCGTCCAGCAATTGGGTGCTGTGGGTGCACGGAGACGCTCAGCTGGCGAACTCTTTGGCGAAAGGGCACGAGTTTGGTCAGCTGAGGATGTATTGCAACAGTGGCCACAGGTGGAAGTTGGTCTATGACGCCAAGTACCAGAGCGCTAAGAAGCGGAAGGCCGCGGGGGCCCTTCCGTTCGAGAGCGCCCCCCTTGGAGGACTGCGCCATGAAGATGCGGGAGAGGGTGCCACGTACGCTGCAGCAGGTACTGGAACCAGTCAGTCCCGTGGGTTTCCCCGAATACGACGCGGTTTCTGATTGCAGCAGCGATGGAGGGTTTATGGATTGAACCACGCTCAGCTTGGAGAACCCTTATCCGTGCAAGCTTCAGGGTGCAAGCCTGCGCAGGTCATCCATAATACGTGACACATCTGAGCCACCCTGTGTACAGGTGCGGGCCCCAAAGTGGTGTACACTACGAGGCTCTGGAGTTTTCTGGGGTAAGTTCTAGGGGCACAGGTTCCGTGAAGGAACCGTTGTGCATGCACGTGCGTATGTGACAATCTGCTTGCAGGTTTTATGCCACCGTTTGCCATTTCTCTCAAGCGAGCGCCCCCTCGCTTGCGCTCGCGGGCACATGTTTTGATGGGGGCTCTGTGAGCAGAGCCCGGACGGACGGCCGACCGCGAGAGAGGAAAACGAGTTTGAGACGTTGTGCGTATTCCGCCAGCGACTTGCACCCGGGGCGCCCCGCCCCAGTCAGACCCCCCTCCTCAGACCCCCTCCCCTGGGGCACCCGCCCCAGCCAGACCCCCCTCCCTGGGGCGCCCGCCCCAGTCAGACCCCCCCATCCCCCCTGGGGCACCCGCCCCAGTCGGACCCCCCCGCCTGGGGCACCCGCCCCAGTCGGGCGCCCCCTCCCTGGGGCACCCGCCCCAGTCGGACGCCCCCTCCCTGGGGCGCCCGCCCCAGTCGGGCCCTTCTTTCCCGGGGCGCCCGCCCCGTCCGAACTTTCTCTCTGGGGCGCCCGCCTCAGTCAGAACCCCCTCCCCGGGGCGCCCGCCCAAATCAGACCCCCCCCACCCCCCTGGTGCGCCCGCCCCAGTCGGGCCCCCCTCCCTGGGGCGCCCGCCCCAGTCAGACCCCCCTCCCTGGGGCATTCCGCCCCAGTCAAACCCCCACCCCTGGGGCAGCCGCCCCAGTCAGACCCCCCATCCCCCCCTGGGGCACCGGCCCCAGTCGGACCCCCCCCCTGGGGCAACCCGCCCCAGTCGGCGCCCCCTCCCTGGGGCACCCGCCCCAGTCGGACGCCCCCTCCCTGGGGCGCCGCCCAGTCGGGCCTTCTTTCCCGGGGCGCCCGCCCCGTCCGAACTTTCTCTCTGGGGCGCCCGCCTCAGTCAGAACCCCCTCCCCGGGGCGCCCGCCCAAATCAGACCCCCCCCACCCCCCTGGTGCGCCCGCCCCAGTCGGGCCCCCCTCCCTGGGGCGCCCGCCCCAGTCAGACCCCCCTCCCTGGGGCATTCCGCCCCAGTCAAACCCCCACCCCTGGGGCAGCCGCCCCAGTCAGACCTCCCCCGCCGAGGTGCCCCGCCCCATTCAGGCCCCTCTCCCTGGGGCGCCCGCTCCAATCATACCCCCCATTCCTGGGGCACCCGCCCCAGGCAGCCTCATCCCCTGGGGCGCCCCGCCCCAAGCAGCCTCACCCCCTTGGGCATCCTGCCCCAGCCGCGCCCCCCCCGCCAAGGGCACCCCGCCTGAGGTGGGCCCCCGACGGCCCCGCCGCTGCTGGACGCGCGTCGCTGCCGGGATCTCGCGTAGCCATTTGGGCTCTAGAACTTGTTCTGGTTTTCAGCGCAATGGCCACAGAGTCGAGTGTGCGCAGCACCAGCCTGTGTGTTTCGCCGTGCGCTTCGATGCATTGGGCAGGGGCCGCGTTCGTCAAAGCAGCGACCACATTTCCAGACGTCGTTGAAATCATGAAGGATCTTGCTGGGGAGAAGCTCACCTTCAGCACGTCGTGCTCTGGAATTGGTGCACCCATGGTCGCCTCGAGGTGCATAGCAAAGCTTCTGAAGTTCAGACCCATCGAGCTCTTCGCAGTGGAGAAAGACTCGCACCGTGTCGAGGAAATGCTACACGACGCTCCCCATAACCAGCCGTGCCACATATTCGCTGACCAGAAGAACGCCCTAACCCCATTCATTTTGGAAGCAGATGGAAAAATAGAGAGAGAGAGAGAGAGAGAGAGAGAGAGGGAGAGAGAGAGAGAGAGATGAACCAAAACTATATATATATACATAGAGAGAGAGAGAGAGGAGCACGAACGCCCTTCTGATTTGATCATGTCGAGACCATTGGCGCAAAGCGCCCATTGCGTCAAGCGCGGGAAAGAATGCAAGGCTCGGAGAGCCCACGTTCACATCACTGGCACTCCGCGCGTGTGCGACAGCTCCAGAGGGAATCGCGCGAACCTGCATTCATATTTGAGAACGTCGTTTCTCATGGGGGCGAGCAATGCCACAAGTATCTCACGGAGACGAGCAATGCCACAAGTCTCTCGTCCTCTGCCCGACCCCGCTCGGCTGGCTTACTCGTCGAGTTCGCCGGTTCATTGTGGAATTATTGACGAGTTCCAACCTTCAGCCCATTAGTGAGATTAGCAACTTCGCCCTGTATGTATTTGAACGCAAACACACGTCCACGCCGGACGCGCATGCCATTGCCGCGGATGAGGAGATATCAGAAGAGCTTGCCTGGGCTTCGACAAGAAAGGTCGTGAAGCAGAGGGCGCAGGGCATCATGACCGACGACCCCGGGTCCTTCGAGGCAGCCCTGACGAAGGTCGAGCTCGAGAGGCTTGCCAACTACCTCGAATGGAAGCCAGGGTCTTGCTACGACCTCGGCCAGAACTTAGAGGCGCCATTCATGTCGCCCATGAGTGGGCCCCTTCACTCCCTTACGAAACACCTGCACCTGACGTGGTTCTCAAACCTGGCCCAGAGGAGGTGGCTGACCAAGTCTGAGTTGGCAACAGCTATGGGTTCCCCCGTCAATCCAAGCATGGCACTCGCAGCGGGGGGCAGTTGTATCTATACGGAGGGTAACCCAGGTCACCCAGGCGAGCCCTGGAGGAATCGGCACTCGGTATGTTGCCAAACAGGGAACGCAGCGCATGTTAACAGCATCGTTGCTTGATGAGCCCCGCGGGCCACAATCTGGGGGGGGGGCTGGTAATCAGCCCCGGATATGCAAGACCAAGAATACCAAACATACTAAGACTTCAAAACCAAGAATACCAATAATTCGACACCAACACCAAAAATACATAACCTACGAAGAATTCCAAACCAAGAACTCACGAACATAATTCTCATGAGTCCGTCCACTCCTCCCCCTAACCCTCATCCGCCCCTTTTTCCTCCCCGCAACTCGCCCTCCGATCACTTGCCCCCCCTTCCCGCCCCTCCACCTCAGACGTCTCTCGCTCTCTCTCTCTCTCTCTCTCTCTCTCTCTCTCTCTCTCTCGCTCTCTCTCTCTCTCTCTCTCTCTCTCAGTCTCTCTCTCTCTCTCTTTTTTTTTCTCCTCTCTGCTCTCCTCTCTCATTCTCTCTCTCTCTCTCTCTAATCTCTCTCTCTCTTCTCGCTTCTTCGCTCTCGCTCTCGCCTCCTCGCCTCGCTCTCTCTCTCTCTATCCTCCCTCTCTCTATTATCCTCCCTCTCTCTCTCTCTCTTTCCTCTCTCTCTCTCTCTCTCTCTCTCTCTCTCTCTCTCTCTCTCTCTCTCTCTCTCTCTCTCTCTCTCTCTCCTTCTCTCCTGGGCCATGTCCCTCTTTGCCGTCCTCTGATCAGCGGTGGTGGGTCGATGCTGCAGTCAGGGCGAGCAAGAGGCCTCGGACTTTGCGAGTACCAGAAGCGTGAATGGACTGATGGTGAAGGAGGAGGAGGAGGAGGAGGAGGAAGTTGGAGGTTGGAGGTTGGAGGCGGCGAGGTTGGATGGACGATGCGGAGGCTGAGAATGCGGAGAGGGATGTTGAGCACGAGGAGGCGGTGGATGCGAAGGCGGGAGGAGGCCGCGCTGAAGTTCATGAAGGGGGGGGGGGGGGGGGGCGGAGGAGGCGGGGGGGGCGCGGAGGAGGGCGGGGGGGGGCGGGGGAGGAAGAGGGGAGGAGTCACGCGGGGGAGGAGAAAGGAGAAGGAGGGAGGAATGCTGGAGGAGAGGAGGAGGAGGCCGCGCGGAGGAAAAGGACGAGGAGAGGAGGCGGAAGGAGGAGGGGGGGGGGGGGGGGGTATGTGGAGGAGGAGGAGGGACGTTGGAAGGAGGAGCGTGACGTTCATCCCCCCCCCCCCCCTGCCATCGCCCCCCCTCCCCCCCACGGGCAGCCTTTTGGCCCATGGCCGTTACTTGCGCCTCCTGGGCGTCGTCCTGGGCGCCTCCTGGGCGTCGTCCTCCGCGCCTCTGCGTCCCCCGTGAGCGCAGATGGCTGCCGCTGCGGGCCCGGCTGCCTGCGCGGGCGAGGCAGCTGTGGCCCCGCGCGCGGCAGCCGTGCGCGCCGCCTTCGGGGCGGCAGCGGCGGTGGGCCCCCGCCCCCGGGCCGTGGCCCGTGGCGTCTCGCGCCCGCGCCGCGGGAAGTTCCACGCGGACCGACTCCTGCTTGTTCGCCTACATTCTCCTCCCATCCAGCTCTTCCTCTCCCCATCCAACTCCGCCTCCAGGACGCGCGGGCGCGGCGCCTGGTGACGCTGCAGACCCGCAAGGCCGTCGAGGCCTTCAAGGGCCCGTTCGACGGCCACGCGCGCGTGCACGGGCGCAGGCGCCGATGGCGTCGAACGCGACGGCCGACGGAGTGCGATTGCGACGACGACGGTGGCGTTGGCGACGGCGATGTTTACGTCTCGCAGCGCCCTCAGGCGGGGGATGAGGATGAGCCGGTGGAGGTGGACGGTGCGGAAGATGAGGATTGAGGAATCGGTTGGAAGGAGGAAGAGCGGGGAGGAGGGGGGTGAGGAGGCGGAGGAGGTCGCCACCCCCCCATCGCTTGCGACCCTCAGGGGGCTGCGCGTCGGGGACCTGGCCGCGTCGGTGCCCGAGCTCACTGGCAAGGCCTCGGCGCGCCGCCGCCACCCCTGGGACTGGGCGATCGGCCTCTGCCAGGATCGCCTGGGGGCAACATGGGGGTAATGCCACCTTCGCCCATGCATGGTGTAGCAGGCCCCTCCTCGCTCTCACCGAATCCTTAACGCTTCGCGTATCCCCACCAGCCCATCCACACTTGATTGCCAGTTTGTTTGAGGCCTCTCGGAGGCTATTTTGAGCCATGCTCTGCTATAGGCTGTCGGAGGCGATCTTGAGCCATGTTCGGCTATCTTGGGTCATCTTGAGGCTGCCTTGAGGCCTCTTGGAGGTCTCTCGGGAGCCATTTTTGAGTCGTGCTTTGCTTTCTTTTGCCATTTTGAGCACCTTATTTGCTTTTCTAGGGCCCTCTTGGAGCAATATTGGGCCACTCAGGGCGGGGTGGGGGGTCTTTGGGGAGAGGCCGGGCGGTCTCTTGGGGTCATCTTGGGCCCAATGGCCCAACGCGAGGAGGTCCCTCAATCGGCATCGCCCCTCGGTGGCTCTCACGGCATCTAGGTGCCCTCTCGGAGCGCTCTTGGGCGCCGCTTGGGCGATCTTGGGGGCGCCTTCGGCCTTGTTGGGCCCCTCCTGGGCCTCTTTTGGGCCATATTGGGGCCATCTTGAGGCTTCCAACGCCCATCGGAAGCGAAAAGGCGATACTGCCAACACCATTAATTCCCCTTTGGCGTTTGACGGGTTTCTGGCATCTTGGAGCGCGCCGTGGAGGGCTCGGAGGGCACTTTCATCCGTCGCGTGGCTGTCTTGGGGGTAGGCTGCAGGTTATCTTGGCCCATCTTGACGTGGCATGGGCCATCTTGGAGGCCATCTTGCGACTTCGAAGCCCTCCTGAAGCCTTCTTGGGCCATCCTGGGCGCTGCGGCGCCTCCGCCCCCCCCCCCCCCCCCCCACCCC